TAATTTTCGTGATTTTTCCATATTTTGTCAATTTTTGAACTTTAAATGCTTATAAAAAAAATTGTGACTAAGGATTTTTAATATTTTTCATCTGCCTTTGAAACAATATATTAGGAGCCTTCTATTAAATTTTCAAGCTTTCGCAACCAACAAATAAAATTTTATTGCTATTTTTAGAAAAAAAACTAAAAAAAAATGGAAAATGAAAATGTCCCTAAACAGTTCAAAATAAATCAAAATATTTTGAAAATGTTATCGTGTATAGAAAATGCAAATATAAACAACCAGTGAAAATTTCATGTATATACGTTCATTTGTTTTAGAGTTACACCAAAAACCAAAATCGATTTTTTGGAAAACCAATTTTGCTTAAAAATTCCCGTTTTTCCTTAATTTTTAAGTTGTTTTTCCCGGCGCTTGTGAAAACTACTGAGAAATTTATACTTTTGACCCCCCAAAGTACCAACTAGATTCACTTTCCTATCAGAAAAGCTACTGATGAAGAAAATCCAAGCACTTTTACTGTCCTAAAACGTGATGACAGACACAAAAATAAAAAAATAAAAAAAAAAATAAAAAAAAAAATAAAAAAAAAAACACACATCATTGTAAAATCAATACATTCATCGTTTCACTCAGAATCTAAAATTAAAATGTCCATAAACAGCTCAATACAGGTAAAAATATTTTGTAAATTTTATCAAGTTTGGGAATTGATGGGTTGTTATATGGTGTAAAATTTAAGTATCTACAGTTATTCGTGTTTGAATTACAACAAAATAAGAAAATTGCTACATGCTTACATGAGAAATCGAGAGAATATCCAATAATGATGTAAAAATTTAATTTGACTTTCCGGTAAATATTTTTTTTTGATAAAGGTAGACATACTTATGAGGAATCTTGTATTAAATTTTCCAATGTTAGATTTAAAAATAAAATTTTATGTATTTCTAACTCAAAATAATTTGCACATTTTCGTGATTTTTACGTATTTTGTCAAAATTTGAACTTTAAATGCTTATAAAAAAAAATTGTGACTGTAAATTTAATATTTTTCAAATGTTATTGTAACAATATATTAAGAGCATTGTATTAAATTTCCAAGCTTTTTTACCCAACAAATAAAATTTTATTGGCAATCATAGACAAAAAATTAAAAAACTGAAAATTAATTATGTTTGTAAACAGTCAAAATAAGTCAAAATATTTTGATCGTGTGAATTTTATCGTGTACAGAAATTAATGCTAATATAAACATTTAGTGAAAATTTAGTGAAAATTTCATGTACCTACGATTATTTGTTTTGGAGTTACACCTAAAACCAAAATTGATTTTGCTTAAAAATTACCATTTTTCCTAAGTTTTTATTTTGTTAATCTGGGCGCTTTTAAAACGATTGGAATTATAAATGTTGACCTTCTGAATGAACCCACTATATTTCCCATCGATCGAGATAGGTACTGTTGAAGAAAATAGAAGTAGTTGTACTGCCCCAAATAAGGTGATGACAGAAACAAAAAAAAAAAAATAAAAAATCATAAAAAAACACATCATCCACATATCGCTCCTCTCAAAATCTAAAAAAAAAATGGTTACACCTTTCTATTTTAGACTTTTGAATACAAATTTATTTTAATAGTGGATTAGAGTGCCTTAGGGGCACCCATAGGCCGAGCACCCATGGCCCCCCCTGAATCCGAGCCTGATATATGCTATGTACTATGTAGTATGTACCTACCGGACCTTTTGTGTGCCATAATTTTTATAAATGTCATGTATCTGAAGTTTTTAATATCAGGCACTCACCTCTGACGATTTTTTTTATGAATTTATAACTTAAAGTAACAGCTATCACGCATGTATTTACCTGGAATGTGTATGCGCTCCACTACGCGAGAGACAAGTGCCATAAACACTAGGAATTTGAAATAACACGGTAGGTCTCTCTGTTATGTTATAATTTAATATATTAGGTAGGTATACTATACGTCTACTTATACCCGAAATAAATAGTGCAAAATTAATTCTAATCTTACAACACTTATTCTTTTTTGTATAAAAATCTGAGTTCTGTTGGCACTCACAAATGATCCGTTTTCAACCTTACCGCTCGGGTAAACGACACGCACGAAGTACCTAACATTTTTTTTCGAATTGCCTGCAATATATCACCCGAATAGCAAAGTCTATATTATAGTATATACCGACCTGAATGCACACATAACTCCTTAAAAATGGATGGTATTTAATATTGTCCAATAGCAGCACATATTCAATTGGGTATAATATTATCGCCGATCGCCATTCCGCAAACGTCGGTAAAAGCACGCGTCCGTACCCGGACGTGAGTTGTATAGGTACGCAGATTGCTTACATATACTGAATTATATATTAGGTAGTATATTATATTACTTACATTACACGAGTACACAGTTTACCAGCTATACCCGGTATAACCACGATACAAATAATTCGGTATTAAAATACATACCACTATATTGCAGTATAACTATATACACGCGGTGATTCACTAAGCATACACATTACACACCCTTTTCTTCAATAATACAGTAATTCAAAATCTGATCCTTGAAATTTTACAATAAAACACTGGTGTAATAAAAATATTTTATATTTTATTTGAATTCGAATGACATATTATAATTATATAGAATACACATTTCTAGCTCAAATTTTGACAAAATTGGATATTTCGACGAAAAATAATATCTGGTGTTGTAATAATATAAATCGGCCATGCAACCATCACTATTATAAAAGTACCTAAAGACCAAGACTTTAGAGACCAATACCAATACCTTAGACTTGCAGACGTTGACGTTTGATGACCTTTGACGTTTGACACGATGTATATCAATATGTTATTCCATATCTTTAAATTAGTTCTTCCGTTTCGCCGACATGTATGATGCGGCTATACTTACACTATATATACACAGGCACACAGCTATTATAGAACTTCGATAAATCGAACACTATATAGCCAACATTTTATCTCCTTTGATTTTCGAGTTAAGATGGAAGTTCTACTGTACCTACGTATTATTTATATCTGTATATTATTATTATTTACGTTAGTGCAATGAATAGGTGCATTTTACGCATACGTCATTTAGCTTATGGTTATGACATACCTAATTATATTTATATTATATTACATACCACACAAAATATGAACTGCAGCTGGCCTTATTGTTAGTCATCAGGCTGTGAAATTCGTCGCCAGAATGAAAATCGTACACACATAATATAATAATATGTCTAGATTACGTGCAAGCGTATTTATAGGGAGTACTTGGAAAGCGATTGCGAGAGTCCGGCAGTCGGAGGAAATTTCGCAAGTGCGCGATTCACGGTACACAAAGGTTACTGCAGTGTGTGTGTGTGTCTGTATATTATATTATTATGTTAAAATTGAAAATAATAAAAGTTTTTCAACTTCAGACAATTTTCTGAAAACAATTTGCTCGTATATCTATGATCCCGACAAGCTTAGTCTAACTTGTAACTTCGTATTTATTCATCACTAATTTTACGAAATTATGCTAATAAATAATACATAATAATATATTCAAGAATTTAAATGACTAAAGTATTTAGACCATCTAATATTTAATAACTCTTATACAACGATCATGTTTTATTTTCTATGCAATAAGTGTATCTTAATATTATTGGTTCGTGCTGGAGATTAGAATGGCTAGGTACTAAGTTGCACACAGCTGATATACCTATAGATACGATTAGTCAATTAATGCGTTGTTTAGTGTTCTCCACTGTTCACGCGGTTAATGATATTTTATTATATTTTATATCATACTAATATATTATTATATATACGACATGTCCGTGTCGCAATTTATTTAAAAAGTAACCGTTCGTCCTCGAAGAAATGCTATTAATGGTATAAGGTTAAATATCTTTCACCATAAACAAACGATATGCCTATGTGACAGCCATATCTGTAAAGAAAATCGTGAAGGAAAATATTGATTTTAATTTTGAGAATTTTGACTGGTGTATAATATTCTATAATTATTTTCAGAGTTGAAGAGGTCATATTTTTTGAACCGTAATGCAAATGTATTCACAATAAGTACATATTTCGACACTACCAACATTTTTCTGTCACATCGCCTGTGGAATAAAACCAGAGTAGAACTGGAGGTAAATAAATCATTATAGACGTTTATACAATATTTTGGACTACTCTGTATAACATAAGACCTGCCTCAAAGCCCTCGAAGTGTTTTAATTTTGATTTAGTCCATTATTCAGCTCAAATCTTGGCAGATCTATCGCATATATCGCATATAAATACCATATTATGGATCTTAGATTCTTACCCTTCTTTGAGTTAAATTAGAGTAGGTGACCCTTATTAAAATTGTTCAATATATGCGTCACATCCACCACATACCACCACGCCCATACTACTTGAATTAAAGTTCATGGTATACCACACATAATTAAAATCGTCTACAATAAAATGTGACTTATTTACATTATTATCTATAATATTATAACGTGCCTAATGTCTATATTTTGATTAATAGTACATATTATAATGCACGGATTCAGCTCATATCTTTTACAGTTCGTACTACTTATTCTACCAGAACATAATATAACTATATAATATATATATAATATACAGCACTCGATTTTATTAGCCCTATAGTACGATGGGTATCGCCACGACTATCATCACCGCATATCATTGTCGCACAATTAGCTGGTATAGTCGCGAGGCAATAGTACGATGTACTCGCGCAATCTCACATAATTCCTTATGACCTTATCGCCACTGCTGCTGTCGGTTGATTTCGGCGTGTATAGTAATATTATAATCGTTAATTGGACGTAGAAAAACGTTCACGTGACTGAAATTCCCGACGACAAGTAATATTATTGTTGTATATATTATAGCAGTGGTCGTCGTCGTCGTCGTCGTCGTATATTATTATGAATTATAATGTACGAGCCAGTCGACCGCATGTACAAGAAGATTTTAGATTTGGCAAATGTCGGTCGAGGCGGTGGCGCGAAAAAGAATTTCACGCGTCCGTTAACCGTCGTCGAAGACTTATTACCTGGGCGGGGTCCAGTCCAGGTTATGTGCGATAGCGGGGGTGGGAGACGGTGGTGTATAGTTTTCGTGCCAGATTTCAAAACTGATAAACCCGATTGTTTACGACACGAATCGGCTACCGAAATGACCGGAGTGGAATGAAAAATGCGCGATGTTTTAATAATAATATATTCAGCTCTAGTCGCGGGCGCATTATAATAATAATAATAACAATATTAGGTGTATATAAGTATACTATTATAATATGATTTTATCTTGTAAAAATATCGTTTTCGATTTCGACCGTGGTGACCGAGGGAACAGGTTTGGTAATTCCGTGTCGTCGGTTTTTTTTTTTTTGTTGTTGTTTTGTATTTTCCATTTCGGAATCCTGCAGCAGTGGTGGCCGTATATATATTTATATATGATATAAATGTTATATCGTGTGCAGCATGTGTGCTTCGAACTCCGAATCTCTAGCATGATCTAGCCTAGTGGATTTATCGTTCCGTACTTGGCAAGCGTCTTGTTTCCTCTGCGTCTGCAATAGCATGACATTGTTCTCGATAAAGTCATAAGTCGTAACGCATCACCTTGCACAGGCGTTGGGCAAGAAAATGAGATGATATTATTATTATGCATGTACAGGAGGTTCCTTAAAGTCACAACTTTCAATTTTTTTTAAATGTTTATTCTAAATAAGTTTTCCTGACTAAACCAACTAAACATTGGTATATGAATGTATACATTTTAACATTTGTGCCTATATGTCAGTTAGCGTACAATGGTTGAGTATTTAGATTACTAAATAATACATAATAAATATTTATACATATTTTGCAATTTAAATTTTTTTAATGTATTTTATTTCTTGATTTAGACAATAATAATTTAGTAAATTTAGTAAATTAGCTAATCTAAGGCAATGTGCGGACAACCACGTTGAAGTCTGTGTCTGTTATAACTGTCTGTACCTAAGTCTGTTGTGGACTGCTTGCTTTGCCCTCAAGTGACTATAAAGAAGTTATGTATTCCCTTATGTATAGATTTGGATTATTGGTATTTTAAAATCTGTGTGCAGGGAGCAACGTTTCGAACAAACCAGGAGCCAGGGGACATTTAAAATTATTTCTTTGATATTCCTTTCGGCTTTTGTAATACCGATTTTCTGGTTAACTGTAGGTTTAAGTAAACCTACTGGTATAGTACTCTGGGAAACATTTGTCCCTAAGTATATTTAGATACTTATCGGAAAATATGTATGTTCATTACAAACGCTGAACAAAATATCAAAAATTTACATCACGAACATACCTTTTTTTATCCTGTCCATTAAAAACGAAATTTTCATTTTTTAGCAGTGCTTATCTTGGCAATCACCGTAATTTAAGATTTTGTTATATGATGTTGAATTTTTTTTTTTTTATTTAAAATTATCTTATTTATTTTATTTTAGAATGAAATAGAAATTAGTAAGTTAACTTCTGTAAAATGTAATGAAATTTAAAATCCAAATTGTATTTTGTCACTCTTGTTAATAAAAAGAAACTGCAGTACGCCAACTTCACCACTTGTAAACACGAGTGGTGTACTCAGTGGCGTCAATACAAATAAAATACTCATCATTCAACCACCGAGAAGACATATCTGCCAAAATCCAAAAAAAGGACTATAATATCGTCTATCACGACACTATTATAATCAGGTAGTATTTGTTTTCATCTCCTTTTTGTATGCCTGCCATAATATAATAATAAATACCTACTTACATGTATAAATATTAAATGTTATATGTAAGTACAATCTCGTACAGTTCAATTAGTATTTTTCATCAGGTCGTTGAACGTATAATAACAACAAAATCGAAATATTAGATATATTTACTAAGAGTTCACTAAGAAGAACTTTACTGTTGTATAACTTTATAGATAATATTTGTATTTACACCGCGGTGGTGCAGGTCGAACGGGAAGAACGGGCGCGATTGATGGTCATTGCTGTTTTTTACCATCACGTGAATAATACACTGTACCTATATAATACCTATTGTTGTCGTATATATGTATGAATACTTACCCATCGTCTTCCACAATCCATATATATATACCTACATTATGTATAGTGTACACACAATACGCGTGGTTATATTATTTTATATACAGGCATACGGTGCATACCACGTGCACCACATAATATAGGTTTATACAGTGCGATCCAGTGCTCTAAATTTCTTCGGGGAAAATACAGGTTTATAGACATTAGAATGTTGAGTACTGAATAAATATTAATTTTTTATTTATAGACATTTAGGTAGAAACAAGGGTAGTATGATAATATTATAGAAGGATGCAGAAGCTTCGATACCTATCAATGTTATGATGGTGTGAAGTGCCGTATTAGGAATTTTATTGAGTATGGGCCAATCACATTTTTAAAAGGCCAAGGGAATTATGCATACAATCTACATACACTATAAAATATTATATTATAATTAAGCACGCAATTTCATTATAGCTAGATGAAATTCCCCAGGTGCCTTCTTTCTATACATCAACATGCCACTGGTATCTGGTGTACATACTACGTACTTACTATACCACACACAAATGTTAAAATATACATTACACACTAACATTTTTAAGTTTAAACACTTAGGTATAAACAAAAAACTAAATCAGAAAGAATGCCTATGATCTAAAAACTATATTGGTCGCCGCATGATTAGATTGATTAATATTGTTACTTAATAAATGCCTACTTCCAACAGTTTATAGGAAAAAATAATTTTTCAAGCCTCAAATAACCGTCAAGAAAAAAAGGGTGTCAGGTTATAGGTAATAGAATCATCCTGTATATGCCTACTCGTTTATATGTGTGTGTGTGTGTGTGTGTGTGTGTGTGTAATACTGTAATACTTTATATATTTCGCATCTACGAATCGCATTTTTATTAGATAATATTATGCGCCGTTCTCGTTGCGCGGTTGTAGTTTATATATATAAATAAATATAATATATAATAAATTATGTATAATAATAATATGCTGGTATATATAGTATACCTACCTATAATGGAACTTTGAAGTATATAGAACCTTTAGGTATGTAAGCCGCGCAACTCGTGTATGGTTCACACGACGCCCGTAATTTACAGAGTTCGTTTGCGATTGTTTATCACGCCAATTATTATGTACACAATGCCCTACATAATCCGGTCGTGTCATATATATATTATGTTTATTGTTCGGCGCAAATGTTATTACTTATTATGATATAAATATAATTGTATTATATCCGCATGTATCTATACCCGTACACACTACACATAAATAATATGAGCATGTTAATAGCCAGTCGATTCGCGATCTCCGAGGTGTACACCGGACGCACCTATATTATATTTATAAAATTTAATTTTAATTTTAATTTTATATTGTTTGGTTTTGACTACGCTTGTTGTACAACTTGTGTAGGTACTTGAAAGGCTGTCATCATTTGAATACTCTCGTGATGCATCATCAACTGCTGTTTATAATACGTCGATCATCATCCGAACTAATACAATACGGTATACGGACCACCAAGTTAACTCGTTTTCCTATAGAGAATAGGACCATTGGCACAATAGCGCACATTGTATGTACAAAACCTGATAAGATTATTAAAATATATTGGTAAAACTCTTTAGTCAAATAATACATAATATTGCCATCATTGTGGAAGCATATTATAATACAGTGGTTCGTTCATTTTTATATTGTCACGCGTGACGACGATATCATAATAATACAGATCCTATACAGTACACGCATAGGTTTATTTCTGAATTAATTATTTTACTTGCATTCAACTGATAAAAAGTTGTTTATTGCAGTATAATTTTGTTTAAATTATTGTTACGGCTTGTTCAATGGTCGATATGAATTCTAATACTATAGTTATGGTAATAAGTACTAACTCTTGAGTATTGATTACTGATGAGTAGGTACTATTCAACATATTATAAGAATACCGAAAAGTTTACAAAAAGACATTGACATACAACCTATGTATACGATATCTGATTTTCGGAGGTTTCGGCGGGTGACCGCCGGAACGAATAAAATACGAGTGGGCAACGCCTACCCGCTGTGCAATCCGCCATCGCCGTAGACATCATCCTCGAAAATCTAATTTTATTATACCTATTATAAAAGACGTGTCACCGCACGTGTACACAATAACGACAGCTAATGAACGAAGACTGTAGAAACATATTTGTCGACGCCAGACGGATTGAGTATCGAAATCGCACGGTATGATATTATTTTATTATTAAAAGAGTCGAATATTATATAAACACGTGAATTTGTAATAACTCTTCGTAAAAATAGCATACGTGTGTAGTACGCACTAACGCACTATACTTGTGCTTATTCGATATAATAATTGTACATATACCGATATCGTATAGGATAATACGATCAATAATCATTGACTATTCCCGTCACGTCCGATGACTTTTAATTGCGATTTTTAATTACGCAACTGCAAGTTGCCGATGATCTATACACTATATTATATACTACCCGTAAACTATATATTATATGACACACACAAGAATAAAATAAAATATGTACTGCGGAATTATACATGGAATCGATGCACAATAATAATAATAATATGATATTATTATATATGTGATTGTTAATATACACTTGTTAATAGAATTACAGGACGTACCTACTACATGTATCCGAGTTGATGCAGCATCACAGCGTACACGTTGTCCGGCAGACCTTGGACCATCATCTCCGACGCCAGCGGACCGTCGCATAATATAATACGCTGCACTTCCTGGAACGCGTGCGAACGGATAGGACATCGACGGGTACCTATACGGTATACATAATATTAATATTGTGCCCATGTATATTTTTCTCTCCATCTCTCTCTCCGTCACCTCCATGAAATTCTCACGGTTGACGCGGACCGTCTTAAACAACCGTCGTCATTGTACGTACACATTGCACACTGTCCCCGAGACGTTTCCTCAATTCTATTACAAACTGTGGCCGGCGCTCGATCGTGAAAAATATTGTATTGTCCAGGTTTGCCGAAAGGTATTAAACTAAATTGATCATAAGATACCGAGTGACATAAATCTTAAAATATAATAAATAA